ACTAATGTTCAATTTTATATTTTAACTTTAAAAAAAAGATCAATTTATTATAAACTACATTAAATTAAATTGTCAATATATATAGGAAACTATTTTGAATTATGTGATGATTATATTTTTTAAATTTAAATATCAATAAATTGACGTAATATACGTTTATTACATTTGATTTCTGCCTTTGATATCTGCAACCTTTTCATGGTGGCAGTAAACGTATATTACGTCAATTTATTGATATTTAAATTTAAAAAATATAATCATCACATAATTCAAAATAGTTTCCTATATATATTGACAATTTAATTTAATGTAGTTTATAATAAATTGATCTTTTTTTTAAAGTTAAAATATAAAATTGAACATTAGTTTATTAAGTAAATTGATCTTTTTTTTAAAGTTAAAATAAAAAATTGAACATTAGTTAATTAAGTAAATTGATTTATAAAATATAAAATTTAATATTAGTTTATAAACAAATTGATTTTAAAATATAAAAGTTGTTTTTAACAAAAAGAAAGAAACAATTCTTATTACATTTGAAATATATTAAGTTACGCCATAAATAGCTTAAGGATGTAAAAGAAAAAACAATTTTTTAAAGTTAAGATAAAATACATGAGTGTCACTGTTTAACATAACAATTTTTTAAAGTTAAGATAAAATACATGAGTGTCACTGTTTAACATTTCACACTTTTTTTTTTTATTTGCCCTCTGTCTATAATTTTGTCGTTTGTCATTCTTGCTCGTTAACCCCTTCGTTGATCTTTTTTTGTTGTACGTTTTATCTATTTAGTTCCACACACAAAAAAACTAATTTTGTTTTAAGATAAGGAAGAGAAAAAAAAAATTTATTATCAAATTTAATTCATTATAAAATTTTCAAATTTTCTAGGTAACACACTATTTCTAACTGGTCTTTGAACGTTGCGATTCTGATCATTCACTTGTACATTTTGGTTTCTTGGTTCATCACCTCCCCTTCTAAAATTCAATGTATAAGGTGATGCATTATTATTAACATTCGCTTTAAAAACTGTTGCACCATTAGAAGAAGGTTCAACATTAGTTGATCTTTTTTTTATTTGGTCCAAGTGTCTTTTTATAATTTTGTTCCCAGTATCTATCTCATACAACAAATTTCCGTTTTGGAATTGTTTCATTTTATATTATAATTTTTTATTTAATTATTTTTATTTTTTAAATTTTACTCCTTTATTTTTCAATTTGAACACTTTTTTTATATCATAATTTCTCTTTAACTTGTTCTTTATAACAAAATTTCTCTTTCTCCTTCCATTTTCAACATATGATCTCCATATCGTATTCTTAATCTCCTTTTCAACATCATGCTATTTAATCACCTTTGTTTTAATTTTCTTTTCCAAAGTTTTTTTAAATTTTTTATTAATTATAAAATTTTTTATTTTATTATTTTCTTCAATTTTTGTTTCATTATTGTTTTTAATAACTATAATTTCTTCAATTGTTATCAAATGATTTATTTCTTCTAATCTATAAGAATTTATTTTTTTAACATTTGGTATTATTTTTGGTACAGCATTTTGCTTTAAGCGAAGCTTGATATTGGTTTTGCAGATGGGTTTATCGGCCATTTTAAGTTTGTAATCAAGTATGAGTTTAGTAAGTTTATCATTACAATAATCATCACCTATATTTCCCACAAATTTTTTTAAAATATTCTTGAAGGCACTTAGCCAAGTTCTGCCAAGTAATGGACTCTTATTGCTATTAACAACGATCGCTTGTAAATTTTTAGTTACTCCTTCATAATTTACGCTAATTTGCGCCGTTCCTAATATTTTGATTTGATAGCCGTCATAGCCTGTTAATTTTAAATTAGATTTCTTTAATTCAGTGATGCCTGCGCTCTTAGCTATCGAACTAGGTATTATTGAGAATCTAGAGCCAGTATCGACCTGCATGATCGTTGACAGGTTATTCAATTTTAAAGTTACTTTATACGCGTTATTATCTGTGTTGTCTTTATCAGCATCCATATTATTTATGTCCAAGTTATACAAATTATATTCTTTTTTTTCTATTTTATTATTATCATCCTCTTTTATTTCTTCTATGTTTATGGTATTTATTTTATTAGTGTATCGTGTTTGATTATTATGGTCGACATGATGTCTACAATTACATGCGTAACTTCCTCCTCGATTTCCATTATAATTATTACTATGCCTTTGCGTGCATCTTGAAGTATCATAGCGTCTGTTGAATCCGTGATTGTAATCATAATAAAATCTTTGGTTATTATCGTTATTATAACTGGTTCTATTTTCAAATCTTGAAAAATTATTGTATAATCCTGGGTAATTTGCCCTAACGTTATTGTAGTTACCCGCATTATATAAAAAGACCCTGAATTAAATAAAATTATGAAATTTATACCCCAAAATGCTCAATATACATCATCACAGATTCAAAACGAAGTAATATCCATTATGGCAGATATGGTGCTTGAACATATTTCAGACAAATATAATAAAAGCGAGATGCCTTTTTTTTGTCTTAAGGCTGATGAGACAAAAGATGCTTCAGGTTGTGAAAACCTTTTAATAGGAATCATTAATTTAGAGTGTCTTTCTGATGAAAGCATTACAGATTGCATTTTAAAGCAACTTAATGATCTAAATATTAATTCAGCTAATATAATAAGCCAGGCATATGATGGTGCAAACGTTATGTCTGGCCGAAATGGAAGAGTGCAAACACTTCTTCAAAAAAAAATTAATAAAAATGTTCCTTTTATACATTGCTACAACCACAAGTTGCATCTTGTGGTTCAAAATTGGTATAATAATATTGTTATTATTTCTAATTTTTTTAATTTATCAAATGCATTGTATAATATTTTCAGGCGTTTTAACGTATCCAAATATACAGGCCACGCCCTTAAGAGACTTTTAGACCAGAGGTGGATTGGTCATTTGGAAACATCTCGCATTATTTATGAGAATTTTGAGGCTATTGGTGAAGTATTATTTTACTTTTCTAATAGAACTCTTAATTCAGAGGTTTCAATTCATGATTCAGTCGAAGCCTCTGGTCTTTTATCTCAATGTATTAATATAAATTACATTATATTAGCCATCATAATTTATGAGATATTAATTACAATAGATCCACTAAATAAGTATCTACAATCAGTAGGTACTAATTTAGTGGATGCTAAAAATTGTATTGATTCTACTATCAATATATTAAAAAATAAAAGAAGTGATAATTCTTTTGCTTTGATTATGATTAAGGCTGAAAAACTTTTATCAAAATTTAATCTTACTCCCCAAAAATCATCACGGGTACGTAAAACGCCTAAAAATTTCCAAGATTTTTTAGTTGATAGCAAACTAGAATTCGATTGTGAAAGACTCCAATTGGAGTTCTTTAAAAAGGATATATTATGAAATTATAGATAACTTTGTGGATCGTTTTTTAGACCGATTTACAGAAGATGATTTTAATCTTTTAATAAATTGTCCCCACCTTGACCCTGATTATTTTTTATCAGATAAAATGGCCCCATTAAAATCCCTGTTAAACTTAAATATGGAAACACTGCATCATGAAATGAAGATAGCAAAAGGATTGCTAGCTTCGGAAGCTAAAGAAAATCTTAATTTTGAAAATATCTTACATATTATGCATAAAAAAAATATAATCATGCATTTAAAGAATTATATAAATCCTACTCAGCAGCGATAATCATTGGAATATTAACGGCTTCTTGTGAGGCCTCGTTCTCTACATTAAAGAGTTTTATCGAGCAGTAGAGAGTCTATGAAGGATAAACGTAAACAAAATTTAGTATTAATGGCGTATGAAAAAAGAATAACGCAGAATTTATCTTTTAGTTCATTTATATTAAAATTTAAAAATAAAAATCGCCGTATTCTATTATAGTAATATTTTGTTTTTTATATGCATATTATAGTATTATTTTGTTTTGTATATTCATATTATAGTATTATTTTGTTATTAAATTTTTAATAAAAATAGGAAAAAATTTCTATGAATGCGTAATTATTTGTTTGATTTTAAAAAAATAGTGCCCCCCCCCCCAAGTAAGCACTTGGCCCCCCTAAGTGAAAATTCCTGGCTACGGCCCTGCCTTCAGGTCAGGTTCAATCCATTAAAACTAAGTTTAAATGCTATGTTTTGAGACAAAATATATTTATCAAATTTTTTAAAGGGATCAAAACTATCCAGGATCATCACTGGTTTTAAAGAGATAACTAAAAAATTAGGGTTTTAAGCTAAGGAATGATAATACGGTATTATCACGTTATAATCGTGATAAAGAGGAATCTTATTTTAAAAAGCGTTTTATGCGCTTTTCGTTTCGTTTTATTTCTTTTTAATTTTATTGTTATTTATTAATTTTCAATGTTGTTTTTTTTGGCCTTATGAAATAAGATATGTCTAATATAGGGTATCAATCGATAGCTAATCAAAAGATCTATTCAACTGGAGGTCAATCTATCCCCCTTAATGGGCGACTCTAGGTTTGGGGGTAAGGAATATTTTTATCAAAATAAAATATAAATATGGGTATCAAATAATAGCTAATTTTATATCTTTTGACTGAAATTCTTTATTCTTGGTCTGTGGGAATGGGGGGGGGGGGGGTAACGAGTAAATTAATGAAATTATTCTGAGTCCCAAAGATTGTTTACCCGACTTCATATGACCTTAGTTTGATAAGATCGTGCAAGGCTATATCTCGAATACTGAAAGTAAATGCTGATTGAATTATAAATGTGAAGGTTTTGATAATGACAGCAATGGACAAATTCGGGGAAAATAAAAGAAAGAGAGAACGGAATTGATTAAATATATTAAATTTTATATAATAAATTATTTTCAATGTTCTCTGCATTTATCGTGAAATTCGATGGCATAATTAGAAATAATTTATTCTTGTATATAATCTTTTATTATATAGATATCTAAAAAATAAATGACAAAAGAATAGTTTTAAAAATAGATCAATAAATTTTCCATCAAAATTTGCTTCATATTTAAAAATTACTGATAACATTTTTTTCTAAAATATAATAGACCAATTGAACATGATAAGATTTGTAACCTATATAAAATTAATGAAGGATAAGATCCAGATCGTGGCCCTAAATAGTCCGGGCTAAAACAAAGAGGTTGGTTAATCAATCCGGTTTCGGTCTAAGGTTGATAGGTCTTGAAAGATGGCCTCACTGTACAAAATGTTATTTAAAAAAGGTGAGGGTTTAATGTTTTGTTAATGTGCGAAATATTTATAAAAATGGATGCGGTTTATATTACACAAAAATAATGATATTATTAATGCTAATTTCTAAAATAAAATGATAAGGAGGTCAAAGAAATGAAAAAAAAATCACATTTATTTAAATATCAATTATTCAATGAATAATAAATTTTTAAAACATATAAATTTTAATCAGAGCATGGGTGTGAATTGAATATAATAATTTTAAAAAACAAATTCTTATATCATATGAAAAATATAACTTATAAAATTACAAGTTAAAAAATTCAAACTTGACTTAGAAGGATATAAGGGAACATGAAAATAAATTAAGATTTAGAGGGATTTTTAAGAAACTTTGAACTGAATTCGAAGAGGAAAAAAGTTATGATTTGGGAAAGTGAGGGAATATTTTTTGGTAGATATTTTTTTAGGTGGCACCTTGTGGTTATTCAACTTTAATATTACTGTGATGGTTTTTATTATTAATGGAAATGCTATGATTGGTGAGACCAGCTTCTAGACACATGCCATAAAATCTGCTACGTTTATTTCGCAATAAATTTGAAGGAATATCGAACTCCACGTTTTTCCCGTGATCAAGCACTAGTATTCTAGAATAGGTTTAATGGATAAATAAGCGAGTGATGAGATAATATTAGAGAATAATTTATTGAGGATATTAATTCATATAATTTTTCCCTTTCTTTAATAAACTAGGAAATTTTTTATATTTAAGATTTTTTAAAAAGTAAATTTTTCTGAATAAGTCAAACAGGATTTTTGATAAAATTTTACAAAATTCCAAATTTCTTTTGTAAAAATTATAAGTAAATAGTGTGTGATTTTTATGCATAAAAATCTTATGTTGAAATCACAAATTTATGATCTTTAAAAAAAATTTCAATTTTGTTGATCTTATATCTTCAAATGAGAATTTGAAGATTTAAACCCTGTTAAACTAAACCTTTTTCTTCTCACTCTGCATTCCATTCTTTATTTTCTTCTGTTTTCAATAATATATTTACATAAATTCGTATTGAATAGCGAGCTATAAATATCCATGTATTTTGAATCGACTATAATCTGTTTCTACTTTTATTTCACTACCAATATATACAAAAAATTGTTTACTTATCATAATCGATGACGGTATTTAGTCTGTGAGCTATGGTCAGGACCGTGCAGAGAGAAAACTTTTCAGCAATAGTCTTTTGAATGAGCTCATCCGTTTCCACGTCCACAGCTGCCGTTGCTTCGTCCAGAACGAGAATTTTAGATTTTCTCAGCAAGGCCCGGGCCAAGCAAACGAGCTGTCGTTGACCCAAACTTTTTTTTTAAAAAAATGATCAACTAAATTGAATCTTTGTTAAAATTTCCAAAATCATGAGTTGGAAGCTAGATGGGCCTGCATTTTTCAAAATTAATTTGGCGGCCCTAAATTTAAAATTTTTAAAATAACATAAAACATGATTTCTTTTCTTTTATCAAAATAAAATACTTAGAATTATAATGCAATAACATAAGGAGCAATGATTTTTCACTTAACTTAACAAATACGTTTATTTTATTTTTTAATTAAAATTTGTGGGCCACGTAAAATATGACGGGGTATGGGTCTAATGGTGAATATGCAATATTCGACTCTCAAAATCCTGACCGGTCTGTAAAAGGTGATTAAGAATATATTACAAGCAGGGTTTCTAATCGTTAAGCATAACGGTTCGGTTCGTTCCGGTTTTTAGTTTAAAATTCTATAAAGGTTTTGTTCCATTTCGGTTTTTTTAAAAAAAAATTAATATCGGTTCGGTTTATAATTTATAACGGTTCTTTTCGGTTTGTCCGGTTTTTATAAATTTGATTTAAAAAAATTAATCATTAACCATGTATATATTAATTTTAGAGAAAAATCTTTTTAATTTATAATTTCTTATCATGATAATCTAATAGATATTTATATTAAACTTAGTAAATATAAAACACCCGCTAACATTATCCCAATTTCCCCTCAACCTCTCTCAACTTGTGCCTCTCTTTTTACTTCAGAAGAAGTGAGGAAAGCTATTCTTTTCTTTCATCGCGATTCTGCTCAGGGTCTCGATGGCATACGTCCCATTTTTCTCCAGGACATCACTTCCCCCTCTACATGCTCACAAACATCCGTTCTTTCCAAATTAACAAACTTCTGCAACAAAATTTTAAACGGTGATGTTCCAAATTTTGTTTCACCTATCCTCTTTGGTGCTAGGGTAATCGCACTTCAAAAACCTAATAATGATATCAGACCTATTGCCATTGGTTCTACCTTTCGTCGTTTAGTAGCCAAGATGATATCATCTCGAATTAAGCATGACGCTTCACGTCTCTTAAGCCCCTTCCAACTTGGTGTTGGAATCCCTGGTGGCTGTGAAGCGGTGGTACATATAACTAGATTATATCTTGAAAATTTACCCTCTAATGAATCCTTAATTAAAATTGACTTCTCTAATGTTTACAACACACTCTCCCGGAACTCCTTCCTGAGTTCCTCGAGTAATCTTTTTCCCAGTTACACTAAGTTCTTTTATTCGTGTTATCAACAGCCCTCCACTCTTCAGTTTGATACCTTTAAAATTCCTTCCATTGAAAGCATTCAACAGGGAGACCCTCTAGGTTCCCTATTCTTTTGTTTAGGTATTAATGACATCATTAAATCCATTAATTCGGTCTGCTCTTTATCCTTGCATTCTTGGTACATTGATGATGGTATCCTTGGAGGATCCAATGTTGAGGTCAATAAAGCTGTGAATATCATCAAGGAGACCGTATCTGCTATCGGACTCTCCATTAATCCAGAGAAATCAGAATTTATCCCTATCAATACTATCGAACCTAATTCAAATAAATTCAAACTAACGACCCTTGATGGTCTTCATCATTTGGGAGCCTCTGTTGGTGGTAACTCTGCTATATCTTCCTTCCTTCAGTCTACTCTGGATACTTTATTTGAGCTGGCAGATTTATTCTCCCTACTTCCCTTTCATAAAGCCTTTTTCCTTAATTTTTTTCAATATTCCCCGTATTCTTTACGAACTTCGTTCAACCGCCATATATTTAAATTCCCCATTCCTCTTGGAGTTTATGAAAATGGGATCAAAGTCCTTATCGAAAATATTCTAAATCTTAAATTTGATGAAATAGCATGGACACAAGCCTCTTTACCCACTAAGATGGGAGGTCTCGGTTTCAGATCTCCGTCTGATCTCGCCTTAACAGCCTTCATATCCAGTTGTCTTTTAACTAAAAACATAGTAAATTCTAATTCTTTAAAACCCGACTCGTCTTATAATGATGCAATCATCGAATGGAAGACTCGAATTATTGCGGATCACCCTCTTCCTGAATCGAAAAAGCAGAAGGACTGGGATAGTCCTATTATTGCATTCTGCGTTGAATCACTCCTTTCCAGAATGCAATTATCTGACCGTCCCTTATTCTCCTCACTGCTTAATGGTTCTGGCCATGAGTTTCTTGAAGCTATTCCGTCTGTTTATCTGCAATTACAACTGAACCAAAACGAGATTGCTCACGCGATCGGCATTCGATTAAATTGTGTAATTACCCAACCCCACACATGTTCAGGTTGCAGTTCTGCCGTTTTGGGTAATGGTAGACATAGTCTTCACTGTCGCTCGTGTAAAGGTCGAATCGTTAGACATAATCTATGAAATTCACATCCTTAGAGCTCTGAGATCTGCTCAAATCCCCTCTACTCTTGAACCTTCCGGTCTTTTCAGATCTGATGGGAAACGGCTTGACGGGATTTCTCAAATTTCTTGAGCGCGGTCAATTCTTGGTCTGGGACTACTCATGTATTGATCCACTTGCTCCATCAAACCAACTTTTAATATTAGCGAAATATTCTGAAATCTCTCAAGAATATATTTTCATTCCCATCATCTCCACAACCCTTACAACTTTTGGGAAATATGCCTTATCTTTTTTCAAGGAACTTGGCTCTCACATTCGTCAACTAACCGGTGAACCCCACGAAGGCTTCTTCTTAAGTCAAAGATTCGCCATAGCAATACACAAGACAAATTATATTAGCTTCATAGGCAGTCTTTCCACAAGATGATCCGTTTTAACCTCAATAATTTTTACTGCCCCCCCCTCTCTTTTTGTTTCTTTTCTCCTTATTACTAATATATATAATATAGTTTATATGAAAGTATTAAATATAATATCTTTTTTACTTATACATTTATAAAATCAAGATAATTATTTATATTTAAAATGGAATATGAATAATAAAATATATAAAATAATATAACATTAAAATTTAATATACAAAAAAATTACCAAACACATTTTTTACATTTTAATAAATCTAATACATATTTATAATAACATAAATATAATATGGATAATTTTATGGAATATGATCAATATTTTTATAAAGTTTCATTAATTTATTAATTTTAGATGAGAATATATATTCAGGCCAAAATTAATTGATGTATTTGTATTAAATAATGAATTTTAAATATATATATATATATATATATCGATATCCTTTTCATTAATTATATATATACATATACATATATAATATTTTTAAATTAGACAAATTAATTTTTTTTATTTCATAAATAAATAAGATAAAAACAAACATGCGTAAATACAATGATGAATAAAATAACGCATAAATATAATAAAATGTATACTAACGGATAACTAAAATATTTTCTAATATTTCAGGATTTAATTTAGTTTTATGCGCAGAGAGTATAAACTTAAGGCTAGAAAATGCTCTTTCTACGGATACCTGCGTAGCTGGAACTGCTAGCACAGTTATAGCTAGCTTATAAAGTTCTGGCATATTAATATTATTTTCCCAATAATTCAAAAGATTAGTATCTTTTTCTAATCTCTCTATATTATCAAATGACATATTCTATTTCCTACACATTTATTATAATTTTCTATGCCCTGAGAATAATTCTTATTAAGACTTTCATGCGAAATCTTCAAAATCATCATCTAAATTATCTTTCGAATGCAAACACGTAGGCATAGTATTTAGAATTTCAATATTCAGATTATTAAGACTTTGTATCAAGTTCCAAGTTTTACAAAGATGTTTTCTGGCGATCTCTCTTTCTTCAAATGTTAAAAATATTATTTTAATAATAAATAATTTATAATGACTTAAATGAATATTAGAATTCTGAATTTAAAAAAACAATATGATTATAAATAAAAAATTATTATATCATTAAATTATTGCTGACCATTTTATTTATTGTCATTTAAATTCTATTATCTAAGTTTTTATAATGAGATAAAAAATAAAGCATATAATACAAAAATGAATGTAAATAGTACTTGATTTCTTTTAGATGTTAGTTATTAATAGTAGAATTATTTAATTTTTTCCTAAATTATTAGCAAGTATTATTATAAAAGCTTAATAACTTATATATATAAATAATTTAGCCAAGAATAATTATGTGTGATTTTAAGATATCTTATCTAATTAACAGATAATTTGCCTAATCTCTAATAAATTAAGTATTTAAAGAAGAATGGTTTTAATTGATATATAATGTTGTTAATATAAAAATATTTAATTTGAAAAGAAATCACCAATTTAAAAAATACCCCCAAGGAAAATTAAATTTTAAATTTAGGTTAATAATTTAAAATTAATTATTTTTTAAAACCGTTTTGAACCGGTTTAATATTTATAACGGTTCGTTTCCCTCTTTTTATATTTTCTTTATAACGGTTCGGTTAAGGTTACGGTTCAGAAAATCATAACGGTTCATTCCGGTTTGGCGGTTCGGTTCGAAACCCTGATTACAAGAAATAAAAAAAAAGTGGCACCTGACTCTCCTAATAAAAAAAATGTTGTATTTTAAATGGATGGAATTACGAAGTTGCTAAAGGCTGTAGGGAGAAAACCTGAAGAGAAATGAATGAGGCCAAAAGAGAATTTTGTTAATAATCTATTTTTATTTATTCTAAATTTAAAAAATGGCGATGTTATTCTTGGACTTATTCATTGTGTTTATTTATTTAAAGGGACGAACCCAAAAGATATATAATGCTAATGTGAATAATCGACGAATATGGATTATAAGAATAAAAATTCACATTAAAAAATTGATATTTTCAGATTATGCATAAGCATCAATTTAGATTATTGTATGTCGGGGTTAAGTGGATAAAATATTATGTTTGAGTGGAAATTTTATAAAAATTTTTAGACAGGTTATGTAGAGTCATCCCAGGAATTAGGTAGAAAAAATTAGTCTCCTATAGGTATAGATGAGGAATCGGCTACGTTTAACCGACTATTCGCCAACAAGAATTGACTGAATAGTTGTAATAATAGCCAATTTAAATTATTACAATTGACGTTTTGAATAGCTCTGGCTAATAGTTTTTTTTAGTTATTTCCTTTAAATCAATGAGCAGATTCTTTCATATTTTTTAATTTGTTTGCAAAAAAAATTATTTAACTTTTAAAAATTGTTAAATAATATTAATATGTTATTATAATAATTTTATTTACAATTAAATTAAAAAATATGAAACACTGTATTTAATTTTATGTTAAATATTTTTAAAAAAAATTTTGAATTTTCTTTTATTCACTAATTTTGAAAAAATTATTCGCCATAGCTATTTAAAACTGCCTATGGCTATTAATTGTAATCATTTAAATTGCCTATATTAAGTCAGTCGTGTTTTGTGATTATAAATTTCTTTAATTACTTTTTATAAGCTATGGTTTAGGCAAAAGTGGTGATAACTTAACCATTTCCTAACTATATGTTTCAAAAAAAAACCTCAAATTTTCCCCATATTCTGCAATCTCGTGGTCAATTCCCAGAGGTAAACTGGATACAAAAGTGTGTAGGTGAGCGTTTCTCAAACTTTCCCATATTTCGATATCCGTTTTTTCGTTGAAAGGGTCCAAGTTAAACCGCAGAGTGCCAGAGAAAAGCACTGGATCCTTTATAGTCAATTTTTTTTAGTATAGATGAGAAAATAATTTCTAATATAACTTATATTAAATTGTTCAAAATAAGCCAAATCTGGTACAAAAATGCATGTTAAGCTTCCATTTCTGGAAGGTGATATTTAAAAATTAGCCATAAATTGTTTTTTAAATAAAGTAAATAACAAAATTTTAATAAAGGTATAGAATTTATTCTAAAATATAATTCGTGGAATAAGTAGTTCACTTTTTGGTGTATAAAATTAATTATTAACTCAAAATTTTCTACGAAAATATTAAAATTTATAATAAGAAATAAAATTATTTAAAATTAATAACAATCGAATAACAAAAAAAAATTCTTTTCAAATATGTTAAATCAATATTTATCGAATATTCGTTACTAACACAGGTATAGTATATTTTTTATATACAAAAATAATTTACCTTATATGACAAAATCAATATATATAAAATTCATAAATAACTTAATCATCTACCCAATAAAACCATATCATCGTATTATTATGTATGTATAATTTGAGTTTAAAATAAGATATACCTGAGGTATGATAGTAATACGACTCCGAATATCGTGTAGCCCGAGCTGACTGATATCGATTCCGTCTATGTATATCTTAGATATTTTCGAGAATGTTTTATTAGATTCGGAAATTTCGTTTTCATTTAAATTTATGGAATCATCGGACTCCATTATACGAAACAGGGCTACCGTAAGGCTAGATTTTCCGGCCCCAGTGCGACCCACGATTCCTACTTTGGATTCGCCCTGTACTTCGAAAGACACATCGTCCAGTGCAGGGGGAGGGAGAGAACCGATCTGCGCGGCCGAGCGATATCGCATGGTATAATGAGAAAATTTTAAGGAGCCTCTGGAAGGCCAATCAGCAGGGGGTCGATGGTCAGGAATTATCCAGGGGGCCTGTAATATATGTTTGTTTTGGTTCGTTAATGAAGTGATATTTATTAATTTTTCTTTAGTGATCTACAATGTCTTGCCAAATAAATCCGATTTAAATTTTCGTTCAGATTCCAATGGGTTCATTCATATTATTACTTATCTATCACATAAAACTTAAGGGGACAATGGTAAGAGAAGGTAATTATATAAGTTAAGATAATTCCTTTCCTAAAATCTAGATCCAGTCATGTTAAAGGGTGACTAGAAATGCTCTGCATTTTTTTCTCTGTCTTTCTTTACTTTTCATTCTTATCTTATAACCAATTTCCTATAATATATATTGTTATATATAAATTCCTATAATTAAAACCTATTTTTTCTAGAGCTATTATACCCTTCTATAACATTTTATAAAATAAACCTCTGTAGGGGTGTATGAGTATTCAGTGACCCTCTCCACAGCGACTATATTAGTTTCCAAATCGCAAGTCATTCTGACTAGCCAATTAAGGGCTTGGGTTACACTAAGAGCGTAGCTTATGGCTAGTCCAGCTTCTCCGGGCTTAATATTATCTCTATTCAAAGCTATTGTTAGTGCGGCCAAAAATACTATAAAACTGCCTATAAACTCAAGACGGACTGCTAGCCATCTTGTGTATTTTTGGAATAATAATATAATAATATTATTGTAATTTATATTTATATCGTTAGAGAGCAGATTTTATTTTTTTAATTTAAAATTTATACGTAGGAACAGGTTTCTTCTCTTCAAATATAGAAAAATGTTTAATTAAGAATTCGATAAAAATATTAATTAAATGAGCCTAAATTGGATAAGTTGACATAATATACAAATGAATATATTTCATATACAAAATGAAAGATTATATAATATATATTTATAAATTAAAAGTAGGGCTGTGCCGATATTAAATTCGGATCAAGCCCATACCTGTAAAAATCGATCCGATCTTTTTACTTTTCTTTTTTTTTTGTTATTTTATTTATATTTATTTTACAATTATAATATTTTCTAAATAATTTTTTAAAATTTTATTTCTTTTTTAAAATAGATTTATAGTATTTTAAAAGTTTTTTTTATAAAAATAGAAAGAAACACCCAAGGTTTTATTTATTTTAAATCTTTTTAAATAACGCCAATTTTTTTATTTATACTTTAAATAAAAGAATTTTTTTAAATATGGTATCTGAATTATGCAAATATTTTACAAAAGACAGATAATTTTGCAAAATGCGTTATCTGCGGAATCATCTGAGTCTGCCTTCAGTACGGCAGGAGATATAGATAGTCCATATCGTAGAAGCTTATTCCCAGAAAATCTGGAGGCTCTCATATTTATTAAAAAAATCTAATATATTATAATTTTATATATTAAATATTACAATTTTATAATTCATACCAACATAAAATGGATATATTATTGAATATATATTTTTTTATTATAGTCTTAGTTGTAGAAATAAAAAATTAAATTAAATTCATAATTCGATTTTTTGCATAAAAAATATTGATTTCTTAATTACATTTGGTTCAAACGGGGATGATTGAAAATCAGTATAAATATCGGATCGGTTTTGAGGCAATATCGGAAAATATCGGATCGGTGAAAAATATGTGGATCGGCACAGCCCTAATTAAAAGTTATAAGAAAAATAAAATTGAATGAAAAGCCGAGTTTTTCTAATTTTACAATTTATTATAACGGTGTTAATAAAATTATATTTTATTACAATATCATAATGAATCAATGCTTTAAAAATAAAAGGGGGAAGGAGATCATTTCATTACCTATTAGAAACCAAACTTGGGTAAAAACACATTTGATTTTCGTCAACAAGTCTGTACGATTCAGTTAAAAATTTATCTGTCACCCCAAAAGCTCGTATAGTCGAAGCCCCAAGCAGAGTTTCCTGAAAATGGGAATATATGGGAGATCTGGATATGGACTCTAACCTCTTGAGCTGGCGAGATGTAGGGATGTAAAATTTCTTATTATTTATATATATAACGATAAATAAAAGAGATAAGAGCTCCTATTAAACCCCCGTAAAATAATATGATTTAAAAATCGAGTGGGGTTGAAATATTATTTATTTTTACCAAACTAGGGACATATTTTTTGAAATAAATTTAAATTGTTGAAAACTCATTCGGTTCTAATTACCCTTAAAACTATTTGCAACAAAGGGCCAGGTCAGGCCTTAGGTTTAAAAAAAATTTCCAATTTAGATACCTCTAGGGTTTTAGATAAATAATTTAAACAGAAAATATTCCATGAATGTTTCAAATTAGAATAATGAGGCGTTAGTTTAGTCTAACATTAGTCACGTCTTATAAACATTAACTGATTTAGGTTGGCAAAATATCCTTGCTTATATTTTGAGCAAAGAGTAAGACTAAGAATTTTGTAAAATTATATTGAAAATCGTAATATAAATGGGGAAATATCATAAGATCCTCCTAATTCTAACCATAATATTTGATACATTTAAATAATTATATTTCGTTTTAAAGTAATCATCTTTTTAAACGATGTGGCATAAGATGAGGTTGGCTTAAATTTTTTAGTTATACACTGCAATAATATAAAATATAGTGAGGGAAATGGGGGTGGGGGGGGGGGAGTTAAAATTAATATTTCAAAAAATTTAAAATAAAGTATGAATACCGATAAAGTTGTATACATACCAAAATGAAGAAGTATATGATGGCAATGGGCACGACCCCAATCAAAAACATGGGGGTGCTCATGCATATGACTAATAATGTAGTGAGTACGCTGTAAAAAGTGGTGATCCATGACCGTATGTTAGGAGGAAGGCCATTGTCTAAAGTGTCCATATCTTTGGCAAATCTAATTTAATTTTATAAATTAAAATCATTTAAAGTGTTCTATTAGATTTTTTTCACAATTTATATATACACATATTACATATAAAATCGTTAGTTAGAAATATTTATTCATATAAACATTTTCTTATCATTTTATGAAGATAATTATTGTAATAAAGTAATAAGAAGTATACCTATTAACTATCCTCCCAAGAGGGGTACTATCGAAAAATGTCATAGGTGAATGAAGAATATTCCTGAGTAATTTCTGGTGTAGAGACCTGGAAGCATATACCATTGACATGGCTACCACCACAGTGCTTGCCATTATTGCGATGCCTAATTTTAAAGTGTACGTATTTTGAAAATTATCTATTGCTTGTGATTTAATGTTTTAATGATGCATCAAATATTTCTTAAAATTGAATGTGCCTTTTTTTTTATTTGCAGGGATTTACATGAAATCTTGCAATCACTATGAAGAAACAAATATCTCATAAAAAAAGTTCAATTAGAAAAAATCAAGGAGCGAATTTATTAAGATAGGGGGTGGCTATGTTTATTATAAAAATTTTGGAAATAGTCCTTGCCCCCTACTTTGTTTTTCTTACAATAAAACCTTGTAAAAGTCCATACAGGGCGTAAACTCCCAATCGTTTATTCCTAAGAGGAATGTCTTGATAAGCAGTGCCGTTAATCATAACAAATTTATCATCGCTCCATTGACTTAGCCAAAAATTCCCGGCAACCGAAAGTGCGTAATAAAGGCCGTATAGAAACATGACAAGGGCAAAGATGTGGTATTTCAGAGCTTTGAAGTAGGTTAGGTACACGGAAAATTTAACCTTTAAGAAAAATATTTATATATTTTAAAGAGAATCGCAATATAAAATGTTATTGCAAATGCTAAAGCCAAATAATATTTTAAAACGCTTTTTTTACCACAACTTAAATACTGCTGGTAAAATAAACGGTGTTACTTTTTTATAGGGTAACGGCGTTATTCGGAAGATATTAAAGTAACACGTTATTTCGTTACTTTATCTTTTATTATTTTTATTTTTTTTATGTTTATAATGATATAAATGGTTAATATAAAGGCATAATTAATTAACATGTTAAGAATTATTAATCATTTTTGTTTTATTACTGTTTAATGTTTAGGTCTAAAATTTATATGGAAAAATTATATAAAATATAAAAATCAGTTTTCATTCTTCTTTCAGTGGAAGTCATGAATTACATTAGTGGGCATAATATGTGAATTATCTATATCATTTTCTTAAAGACCAAATGATAAAAAAAACAGTATTTGGGTGTTTTTTGAGGGAAATATTGATAAATTAAGAAATTTGAAGGAAATTAGTAAGAGGAAATTAATGCCAAAACTCATTCCCGAAAGAAATTTTTAGTGAGGAAGATATATGTGATGAATGACTAGGATGATATACTTTCAAAATTCTTAGGGAGAAAAAAATATCTTTAGAAAAGAAAACCATTTTCAATGATTAAAATCTTGTTTATAAAATATTGTCATATTTGCCATTTAACGTTCAGTAGAGCAAAAGCGGTGCTGAGAGATATGCGATATTAAAATAAAAACTTGAAAAACAATTACCATCAAGAAAATAAATTGTCCATATATTTATAGAATAATCATGACGTATTTAAAAAAATTCTAATTATTAATTCATTTGAATTTTGAGATTTGTGTAATATATCAATGAAAAATCAAATAATGTAACGACGTTGCTAGTTTTAAAGAATATTAAATTAGTGTTGTTATAGTGACTATTTACTAACTAGTTACTGATAACGATAACTAGTTACATTTTAAAAAAAATATTGAAAAATTATAACTAGTAACTGTAACTAGTTACTTTAAAATATTCATATATTATTATTATAAATATATTTAAATAATTAATTTTATTTTTAATATATATTATAATAAATTATTTTAAATTAAACTTATTAATTTTAAATTTTTATTAAATATCTGATTCTATATGCAGGCCTTTTTTATATAGTTAATATTGATAAATGAATCAGACAGATACAAAATCATCCTGGATTTTGGTAGGGGGAAAGCACTATTATGTGAGTGTTGCCCCATAAATTTTATTGATAGGTCTAGGTTATATTTTATAATTTTGGTTTCTACTTTTTTAAAAAAAATTTGAATTATGGTGGTTATTTAAATTATTAACTTTTACTTATTTTCAGAATTCTTGCTTATAGTGTGATATATTGAATATATTTTGGGGAGGGGATGGGGGGGGGGGTGTATTGTCTTAAAATAATATTTATGATGACAAATTTCCGAAGGGGGGATTTCACCTTGTCACTCCTATTTACAGAATTTAATATGAATTCTAGGATGACATTCAAATGACTCAAAATATGAAATAGAAATTGTACATTTCTAAAAGTATTATCAAAACAATAGACTTAGATGTTAAAATACCTTAGCCAAGCTTCAAAAAATATTTTGAATTTCACATAATGTTTCCTATGTTGTATTGTTAAACGGCTCAATTTAAGTCGATTTTTAAAAAGGGTCCGGATTAAGAATTTAGTCAAAATAATAGCCTAAAGATTTTGCACATACTTGGCAGAAAGGTTTGGACCTCTATTTTGAAATATCGAGGCTTACATAAAATTATTTTGGAATAAATCGTAATCGGGCCGTTTTTAAAATTCGACACAAATCGTTCAGTTTACTAATACAACTCCTATGCCTAATAAGGTATATTTCAGCATCTAAGTCATCCAAAGCAAAGCTATGGGAACCCATCTATGTTAGATTATTTCCATATAATAATTTTACTAAATTTTAGTCAAGTTTTTTTTAGCTAAATATTATATAGAATTATTAATTAATTTAAACAACTTAATTAAAATAACTTTGTCTACAATCCTTGGGAATGATGATGTTCTTATCATACATTATACTAAGTAGCAACTTATGATGCCAAAAAAATCTTTTTATATAATTATAAGAAAGCATATAACATTGCCATGTGAAAATACCAACCTTTGTATGGGCCATCATCTGAACTATTTAAAAAGAAATTAAATGATTACATCTTATTAATTTAAGGTTGTCCTCACGCCAAGTGCTCCCGTAGAATGTTTTCTCACTCTAGGGATGCTTATTTGAAGAGAAAAGAGCGTCCTTTAAAAAAATTTTAAAATAGTTTATTATTAAAGGCAAATATAAATTTATTTATAAAAATAATCAGTGCATATATATATGATATTATGTTATTTTATTTCGGTGTAAATATATTCTATTCTCCGGATTTGTTTTCCGTGTAAATATATTTTTATGAATGTAATTAGTTAAGTTTCAAAAGTAACTTTTAACAACACTAAATATAATCATACTGGTGCAATACAATAAGGATCGCCAAGTGGTCAATATTTTCTAAACAATTTATTTTTCAATAAAATTTACCTGATTCCTTACACCTACTCTCCTTCTTTATAGTTGCCTTTACAAACCCAGATGGTGGAATTCGTCCTATCGTTGTTGGTATTTCCTTTAAAAGGCTAGTCGCAAATATAGTCGTCTAAAGGACGTTGACATCGTCGCCTTCTCTCCCGACCAACTGGGTTTTGCAATTTAAGGAGATTGTGATATTATATCCCATTCCCATGGAATTTATCTCAATTCTAGTAAATGAAGATAAGGTAATCTGCAAGTGAATACGCCTTCAACATTAATAGGAGTGACATTTTCCTTCCTGCTTTCTACTTTTTCCAACTTAATATCCTTTCCTTCTTAATCTGCTACCTGCATGAGCACCAGGCCATAAAGCCTCAAGAGGGCATTAATTTGGGAAATATTTTACAAATTGTGAAATGAACACTTTTCTACGAAAATACTTATTAAATGTTGAGAATCATTGGTGTTTTTAAATAAAAATATGAGTGATATGCCTCGCATTCTGATCATATTCTCAAACCCAAAATTGGAAGTAGAATGCTAGATACTTGCGTGCTGATTCTAGCTGTTATAAAGATGCCGAAAGAATTAATATATTATATAATTAAAAGCTACTTATCAAATTCTTTAGGATGTTCTACAAATTGTATTTCATATGTATGCAGCACTTGTTAATAGCCCATAAATATATATCTTGTAAGATGAAATTCCTTCCTAATTATTCTGTTATTGCAATATAGATAAGTAATTTAATATAAATAGATGAAATTGTTATTAGCAAATTTTAGTTTCCAATCACAATATTGAAGTAAATGTTTATTTGATTAATCAAAGGCATACATTTTAATAGTTTAATTTAAATATCAATTTATTTTACTGATATAAATAGATAATATATATATACTGATCACTTTAAAAATATTGACCATTTTAGTGTGTTTATGTATATATATATAATATTAAAAAAATGAATAGTATCTTGATTGACATTAAATTATAACTAGTATGACAAGGTAATTTTAATATGTTACTCTTCCAGTCTCTGACGTTTCGGTTGTCATCCATCTTCCATCAGCTAATTTACTTTCTTTGAACTCTGCCATTTTGCTTCCTAATCGTCTCCTAACTATATCGGGCGTGTTATCGGTGTCTTCTTTTTTATCCGTCATTTCATTATTATCGTCCAATCCTGAATCGGGTTTGATGAGGACATTAGATTCGAGACCAGTGATTCCCAACTCCAAAGATAATAATGAATCTCGTAAGGTTTTGGGCTGAGGAGAAAATTGGTCCGATTTATTAATTAATGAAGTATTCGAGGTGTGAAAAGATGATGAACGGACTTTATCGTCATTTGTCTGACTTTATTATTTGCGTGTTTTTTTTTAAATAAAATAATTTATAGTTTGATATTTTTATATAATTGGTGATAATATGTGGGTTAAGGCTTAATTTATAATAAAACGCGTTTTGTTCAAGAGGAGTAGTATTTAACGCCGAGTTATTTACAAAATCAAGCCAATAAATAGGTATAATTTATAAATACGAAGCGAAATGATGATAACGCAATGATAAAATTTGAAAAACATATTCTGCGATGTGATGAATAAAATATATGAGATACGATTGTAAAAATAATTGCGAAATCGGATAAAGAAGTATATGATATTTCTAAAATATCATGTAAAATAATTATTCTATCTTTATTTCAAAAATTATTATCGCTAGATGAATCACATTACATGTCAAATCGATCAAAAAAAGCACATTTTCGGCCGACCCCTTTTAAAATTGTTAAAATTTTCTGGAATTATTTAGATAGGCAAATAAATGAGAAAGCCGGTTATTTTAGCCCGCTAGCACATCTGGTTCCCGAAATAATAGGGGCTCAAAAGTGCAAAAAAGACTTTGGAATCTATAAAATTTTTAAATGCCTATATCTCAGAAACTATTTATAGTAAAAAAATATATAATATATCAAATTGTAGGTAAAAAAATTTCTAAAGGGCTATCAAAAAATCATAAAAAATGGCGCCAATTTTAATCTTTAACTTCCGGTTTACCTATATTGCTTTACCTGTATTTTTAAAAAGGGAGTTTGATTTCGAAATTTTTTTACGTATAAATATTAAAATGTTGTAACCCATTTAATCTACAAAGACATGCTTATTATCGCAAGATCTAAGAATGATTCTACCCTAAATGACCCAAAAAAATTTACCATTCAATTTAGATATGTTAATATGGTCTCTATGCCGACAAGAATTAATAAACATTCCTTATACTTCAAATGACAATGTAGATATTGATTCTCCCCCTCATATAATTAATCGAGAGGCGGAAACATTAATATATCCCTACAATCAATAGGGGAATCTTCCATTAAAAGAAAACGCTTAAGTGAAAAGAAATATTTGAAGAAAAAAATATCTAGAGTAAAAAAAATTTTAACGATTAAAATTATACATTATCTTCATCAAATGATGAAACTTCGATGAAATTATAGATACCTTAAAAATCAATTTCTCACAACTGTGGATTGCAAATAAATATAGATTATTAACATTATTACTATCAAATTGGACTGTAAGAAAAATTATAAAAGAATTTAATATTTCATATATGGAGTTAAAATCAAAAGGTTTAATAAAAGAAAAAGGGTTTTTTTTCAACACCGAATCCTAAACCCGGCAAAACAATAGATGCCGCCCACCTTTACTGTTGTCAAAGCTTTTTTATAGCAATGATGAATATAATAGATCGATCCTGGGAAAAGGGATTTTTGTTTCTATAATAAAAAATGGTGAAAAGATTCAAGCCAAAAAAAGATTAATTTTAATTAATTTACGAGAGCCAATTTAAAGATATTTATTCAAATATTAAAATTGGACTGACTAAATTTTGTTTCAAATATATTTTAAATTATGGAATGAACATGATTTTATCTATATTTCTATATATTAATAAAAATGAATATTAAAAAAATTATATGAAAGATAATTATTATTGGAAATTTTTTACATTATTAAGTGGCTAATGGGCATTTTCCCACTCTGCTTATCAGTTTATTTAGTATATTTAATAGAAATTCAAAATTTTTTAGTATAAAAAGTGAAAATATCCGGTTATTGATAAGTTAGCAGCAAAATTTTAACCATAATCCGTATTTTCATAAAGCCATCTTTTTTTTCTTAGATTTTTAGAGTCGATAGCGTCGCCAAGGTTTTGACATCGTATATATATTTATAAAAGGTGTCTAAATAAAACAAACTCCCTTTTTAAATACAGGTAAACCGGTTTAGAGATTCAAATTGGCGCCAATTTGAATTATTTTTTGATCCCTTTAGAGATTTTTTTTTACAATTTGATATATTATATATTTCTTTACTATAAATAGTTTTTGAGATATAAGCATTCTAAAAATTTTACAGATTCCAAAGTGGCTCTTTTTTGCACTTTTGAGTCCCTATATCTCGGGAACCAGTGTACTTTCTCATTTATTTGCCTATCTAAATAATTCCAGAAATTTTTAACAATTTTAAAAGGGGTGGCCGAATCGTGATTGATTTGACGTGGAATGGCCCATCAACTTTGTATCGATAGCGTTAAATAACGCACCGCTTGAATAAAACGCGTCTACTATAAATTCAACCTAAGATTATAACAATTTTTCTTAGGCAGAACAAATATATTAGAGTTAGACATAGAATAGAATCTCTCTTTATTTAATATGAATTTTAAAATAGAATTTAAATGAAAATTTTTAAAAAAAAATAGATGAAAAGATAAATCTGGGAAAAATTTTGGACTAATTCAGAACAATATTTTAAGGAAAACTAAATAAAATTTAATTATAAATAGATTACTGAATATAACTTTTGTCAAAAACTGAAAATAATATATATCGTCTTGATCAATTTATATAGGAATTTTAATAATTTAAAAATTAAAATTCATTCATTGTCAACACTCAATTTAAAAATCTTGGATAAAGAATTTTCGTACTGATAATATTACTCTGGAAATAAAAAAAGAATGGGAGGGAGGGGTCTAAGGAGTCGATGTAGTGTTCGAACTATAAAAATTGATAACGTTTCTTATATTCTACAAGGAATGTTATTTGGAGTTTAATAGCCGTAAAGAAGCTTTAAAATATATGAGAAAGAAAATCGGATCGACAAAGAATCTTCATTTTTAAGTTATCTGCCGATTCCAAAGTACTGATAAGGCTGCCGATCCGATTTGATTACAAGAATTGTTCCTCCCTATAAATTTGAAAATAATAACCTTGATTTTCTGATAATCTGATTCGCTTTGCCAAGATTGATGATGTCGCGATTTGAACTATTGATCAAGGCTTCGGGCGCGAGATCAGTGTTTAAAAAAAATTAATGATATAAATTAAAATATTTTCTTTATTTTGAGTTGTTATATAAGTTAACTTAATATAAATATTATTTATTTGGAAATTCGCGATATAATATGAGATATTCATTGTAAAATAATCATTATAATATTCATAATTATAATTTACTTGGGAATTATTCAATACTGGGAAATCTATCATAATTCAATATCCTTTCTTATAATGCTAACTTTTTATTTAAAATTACTCAAATAAACTACAATGGAATTATCTACTAACATTAAAATTAGTAGATTGATTAAAATATTATGAGAAAGAGTAAGAAATTCTTTTTAAAAATTATAGCTTCTATCCTTTTTTTATAATGTAAAATCAAAAATATAGGGAGCGTCCAAAGTCAAAATTTTTTTTAAAAAAAATAAATTTATTATTGAAATTTACGAAATCGAGTTTGGACGCATAATACATAAAAATGAGAGAATCTTTTTTTTGAAAAAATTTTTGAACCCATTAACTTAACTACTTAGTTGAGTTCATTTAATTATGAAAAATATCATGGGTTATTATATCAACCCGAAAAGAATTTCTTATTATAGGGAGCGTAAGATTAATTTCAAATTTATGTCAAACCATTTTCGGGAGAAATCTGCTCACTGTCGGTTCCATCTTCCTCCACCTGTGAACTGAGATAATTCTTTAAAATTTCGGAGAAAACGCCTTCATTTTTAGCCGAGAGTTCCGTATAAGTGCCCTGTTCGGCTATGGTTCCGTCCTTCATGACCAGGATTCTATCTACCTCGGGAAGTAAATGGATGGCATTGGTCACCAATAGGCGGGTCTGGGAGTTTGAGTTATTAAATATTATAAAATAATAATGAACAAATCGTCACTATATTGGTCAATTTTGTAATTGAAGATTGCCGATTCATTCTTTAAATGTATTTTAAAGCGTTGTTAGAAACAAATAAGCTGATGACACGCCAATTTGGCTTTCGATATAAAAAAATTTAATAAATGAAACTCAAATTTTTTTAAAATTTTTAAATCGTATTGCAAATTATTAATATGAGAAACAAAAATGGGGTGACATGAATGAAACATTTTGGTGTGTATATATTTTTAATTCAATTCAAAGTTAATATTTTACATTTCTAACTACTTTTCATATTTCTCACATTCCTTTCCTTTCCAAAATTACATTATTTTTTTAACTTTATGTTTAAGCGCCCCCTTAGGTCCTAGTACATTTTCAAAAATGTGTCGTCCCACGTGGACGTCCACGGAACTCAAAGGATCGTCGAGTAAGTAAACGTCAATCAAATCCTTTCGATAAACTGCCCTGGCCAGTGACAGTCTTTGCTTTTGACCGCCTGAAAGATTTACACCTTTTGCCGCCATCAAAAATAAAATATAATGATATGCGAGTGTTAATTGAAATATAAGAAAAAAAGTGAAATAGTTATGACTTTCGTTTGCTTATTATAAAGCTCTAACTTCATTTCAATTTTTTAAAAAGACCATGCCAGTTGGTTACCATTATAAAAACTATAATTTAATTATATAAAATATAAAAAAAACAAAATTGGGGGTGGGGATAATATAAAAAGAGGGTGATTCCATATCGGCCAAAACTAGAGTAATAACCGCGACGGTGTCAACATGTCATGTCTCAGTAACATATTTCGCAATTATAAAATCATATTAAATCGATACGATTTAAAGCATTTTACAACCTGTTATAAATATTCCCCTGCCCTTATTTATTCTAATAATTTCCTAGTCTTCGTTTTTTTAATAGTAAAAAAACCTTTTTCCCCAATCTCGGTGTCGTCTCCATTCGGCAGTATGTAATCGCGATCCCTTACCAAGTCACAAGCTTGTAAGGCTTCTAAGTAAGTGGAAGAATTAAAAGGGAAAGGAGCTTCAAAAGTGACGTTATTCCGAAGGTTGGCATTTCGGATCCAAGGCTGTTGAGAGGCGTACGCCACTGACCCTCGTATTTTCATCATCGGTGTCGATGTGCTGGTGAAAGATATCTTTAAGTTGTTTCAAAAAAATTAAATATTGTTTATGGGGGGAGATTGTTAATCTTATAACCAAAATAAATTTGTATTTGTATAAAAGATATTTACGTCCTCCTTATTCTCTCCCTGAAAATTGAATTCATTAATATTTGTCGATATGATGTAATTGACTCTTTTCATCTCCCCAAGAAGTGCAGAAAGTAGCGAACTTTTACCGGAACCCACCGCTCCAACGATAGCCACCAATTGGCCTCTCTTTACGGTAAAATTCAAATTCTTGAGCACTGGACTGTTATAATTAGTAAATTTATCATTAAGACTATTTGCGGACTCGTTTAAATGAATAATAGTCGTGCCGTTTCCTTTCGCGTGTTCTTCTATTTTGGGTAATTCAGTTGTTGATTTAGAGTTATTTTCGATTTGGAAACTTTGGGGGAAATCCCAAGCGAAATTGCAGTTTTTCACGATGATCACATCAACGTTAGCTTATAAGAGGGAGGAGAAAAAATAAGTGCATGAACGAGTTTAAACAATCTTTAATAATAAAAGGAAACTAATGCCTGGTTGTTTTACATTTACAGAATGGTGGTTAGAAATTAAAAACTAATCATCAATTGTTCCTGTATTTAATATGTATTTCTATTTAACTATTTCCTTCTTAAAATTAATACAGAAATAATATTTTCATTTACTATCATAAGCATTCAGGGTTTCTCTGATGACACAGTCAGGTTCTAATTCGTCTTGTAATAAAAACGTGCACAGTCGCTTAAGAGACACTCTGGCCTGGCATAATTTTGTTTTAAAATATTTGCGAATTTTAAAAAAATTAGAATATAAATTGTTTACTCGATATATTTTATAATATATACAAATATCATCGCTTAGATGTGTAATTTATAAAATATTATTTTGTTTTATATTGCATGATGAGTTTCAATTTAATCAATAAAAATGTAATTATATTAGATCATTAGATTATAATATAACTTGTATAAAAAGAATTATTTATAAAAGTACCTCGATCACATATGTTATAATCATGGGAAGCATGGACAAGGGGAAACGCAAAAGATTGAACAAAGCTAAAGAAACAAAAGCCTTCTCAGCATCCAATATATTTTTGGGATTACTTAAAACATAGGTGGCAAAAGTCACACATGATACCTATAAACGAAAGAAATATACATTACTAGACTTGTTTCTAATGATTATGTTAGGCATTCATTTTCGTGTAAATTGTTCATGAATCTACCTTTTATAAATTATTGATAATTGTGGTTTTCCAATATCCTGGATAAAAAATAAATATTCAAGGAACAACAATTTATTATGGTCAACATTTGTGTATTAAATTTATTAGTTAACCTTAATATATCATCGTTGATAAAATTCATTATGATATTTTTAGAAACATATCTAAAGGCAGCTAGTGTACTTAACTCGGACCAGTCTTAAAATAGTCATCTGAAGCCAAAATAATGTAATAGAAGATGTCACACTTGTAAATACTACATAGATATGGGATAAAATTTTGGACCGGAGCCATGACCAGGCTGGCCTATGTTGCGACTCGAATTTTTAAAAAAAATGAGAGATAAGAAATTTTAAATTAAATATTTTATTTATTATATTCTATATTTTATTGTTATCTATTAAATTTGAATATTCATTTTGATAATTTAATGATAATTTTATTCTATTTATTACAAAATATGATAGGAAAATAAATAGTAAATATTTCCTACCTCTTGATATTTTTAAAACATTTCTTATTTTTTATTTATAATTATGATTAAATGTAGGTACAGCCTGAAAGTATATCGAACCAACCCACATTATTTTTACCAAGCCTGGCCCGTAAAATGTATTGTATAAGTTGTCCAATTCATTCTAGAATAATTTTTATTAACGACATTAATTTGCTAATTATCAGCTTTAAAAATCTTTTGCCCGACTTGTAAAAATATTTTGAACAATTTGTCCAGCCCAATCAAATTGTGATATCTAATGAGGTTAAAAAAATGAAAAATAGGAAGGAAATATAACATAAATATTTTTCAACATAAGCCAGACCTATATTTTATTGGCAATGTTACCACAAGTCGTATTCAGCCGGTCCTGCATAGTTATGTTAGTTCGTTTAAATATATCGGTGAATATGTAATCGACCTTTTATTTCCAAAAAATTATTTGCAATTAAATTATGGTACAAGTTTGTCGCTATTTTTAACGGTGGCTATTTTCAGACCGGTCGAGATTTAGCATTAGACGCTGATCTTTATGTGGTAATACTCAAATGTATTAGAAGCATGTATATAACTAGGAAAGGAGCACAAGACCAAACGAAGGAGGTAACCGCGTTTAGAAGTGCTATTTTTTTGAGTATGGCCACTTCTTTATTACGTATTTTAAGAATTTTATCTTCGAAAGATAGTTCCCAGGCATATAGCTTAAGCACTTTTATCCCATTCAAAACTTCGTTCATAACCTTGATACGTTCGTCTTTGAGATTCATTTGACTAGTCTTATTTTTTTATTAAATATTAATAATAATTTTAAATTTGATAATAAAAGTATCCATAGAGCTTTGCAAGTCGGCCTCAGGCCAACCCTCGAGATTGAGTTAGGATTATAATTTTATATTCATGAAAATCCAGTTGTATTTAGAACCAGATACCACTTTTTTAGGGATACCAATATGGATACCAAGTAGGGGTGGGGTGTACAAAGTGTCAAACGGCTCGATTTTTTAAAAAGGCTAACCCAATATTTTAGCAAAAAAATATAAATATTATTTTGGCGAAAATTTTAATCTAAAATCGACTATATCAGCCCTTTTAAATAACAAGATGTACAGCTATTTTTGATCGATTACTCCTCTTTTTAAAAAATTGTATTGGCCTGTATTATTAAATTTTTCAATTAGATAAAATAGCTTCTTAATTAAAAAAATTTACAGCATTAATATTTAATTTTTTAATATATGAAAATATATTTATTCTTAAGAATAAATTTATATAATTGAAATGATATAAATAATTTAAAATATGCTAAAAAAATATATATAATTTATTTTTATTTGGATATTTATGATTTTAAAAATAAATAAATAATTTTAAAAACATTGTAACAATTTATATTGATCATGAATAAACTAAATGATATAATATTCTATCCGGTAGAAAGATTTTAGAACAAAAAAAGTACTATAGAAATAAATTATTTATTAATATTTATATTTTGAATAAATAAGCTTTAAAATAATAGGCTAATTTAAATTTGATAGTAGTATTTTTTAAATGATTTGATATGGTTATGGTATAGTTATCCGATATAAATAATATTTACAACAGAGGATCAGCCTCCAGAAAATAATATCCATACACTGTCAAGTTGCAGTTCGATATCAACTAATTTATTCTGATGCTTTAAAAAAATCAGATTAAATGATTTAAGCCATGACTTTAAGTTTAAAAATAAAAATACAGCACTACTAATAAAAAATTGAAAAATTTATTATTATTGTATTATATAATACAATTTTATTTGAATGATCATTGATATCAATATAAAGGGATTATTAACAAGGATTTACTTTAAATATAAATTATCCAAATAAGGAAAAAATGGAACGCAAAATACATTAAAATTGTTATATCGGCCATTAATATCAGTCCTATGCCAATAACTATCAATATAGATAAGTGGTATCGGTATATCTCTGCTTAGAATCCTATATAATTAAGCGATGATATCCCAAAATACTAACCTTGCCCCATATATTGAACCAAATTTATTTTTTGTAAAATGGACATTATTATATAAATTACTTGAAGATGTTTAATCCTGTTAGCCATAACCCCGTTTAGCGGTATCAATAAAACCATAACCAATAGACCAGAGAGAACGGAAGGTCCAAGAATATTCCATAAAAATGCCATACAAATGGCTATTTGGAGTGGGCTACTCCATAACAAACTAACATATGCGCATACATCTGATACCTTTTGGGTGTCTACCGACATTAGATTCACTATTTCACCAACCGTGGATGTTTTGCGGGCGGAATTAGAGAGTTTTAAGGCCTTTTCAAAATAAGTGAAAACAAACGGAAGTAAATCAGAATAAGATTTTTTATAAATGATTTGATAATATGTAAAACATAGTATATCATTCAGGTGGAAGAATTAGGCAAAAAAAACAAATAAAGCTATAAATTGGATGAATTTTGTGTTCATAAAAAATCGTAGATTTTAAAAATAAAATTTATAAAACGGTTATTAAAATTTTAAAAATAATTATATATTATATAATATAATAATCATACTTTCTTGTAAACGGTACAAATGAGAATGGTTTTGATTCGCATACCTATCACAAATACAATTTGAAAATATTGATGTAAGATGATGGTTTGGATAATAACAGCGGCTAGCATTGCGACAGCATAAAATACACCTATCCAAATGGATTGACTTTTGGAGTTCACAAAAGATATAAGGTACCTGAAAATCAAAGGATGTTTTGGAAAAATATATATCATTTTAGGAGTTAAATAAATGTGTAGTTGAAATATGAAATATTGTTAATCGTTATATAACAAAAATAAATAATTGAGATTTAGAGGTTAATTGATACTTTAAAATTTTGTTTTAGACTAATATTCCTTTTTTTCTTTCCTTCTTTCTGCATCTTATCTATGTTTTCTATAATTTTTCTATAAGATTTATCTATATTTATATATGTTTATAAATATAATTGGGAATTTAATATAAATTAAGTTACTTTAATATTTGAGGACTAACAAAGGTAAGCATATCATTGATAAGCTTGTAAAGTATGCTTTGATACATCATAGGTTTAAAGCAACCAAACAAAACCAATGCCAATGAAGGTTTGAGTTTAAGTAGTTCGTTCTCTAAAATTGTGGGAGATTTGGGGGAATTGTCATCAGATGTCTTAGTAATTTGCAATAATTTTTGGCTAGCGGGAGATTTGTATATCCCATTTTCGATGTTTTTACGCATTTGAGTGGATTTACTCTTAGGGCGACGTTTATTAGCGCATAAGCCAAAAACATTAAACGATTTTATTAGATTTGTTGGAGTCACAACGCTTTGGAAAAATATATATTAACAGAGTTCGATCATTAATAATCAATACAAATCTGAATATTCACAATAGAGATCTGCAAAGTTAGGTCCGGCCCGAACGGGCTTTGGGCCAGGCTCGGGCCTAATTTTATTTTAAATAATCGGGTTCGGGTCGGGCCTAATATTTAAAAAAAATTTGGGCCCGGTCAGGTCGGACCTTGGAAATATTTTTAAATATATCTAAATTTATCAATTTTATATTGAATTTTTTATGTAAATGTCTTTTATTTTGAGTAATTATAAAAATTAATTTCTATATTTAAATAAATTCGGGCCGGGCTTGGTTGGTAAATTTTATTAAAAAAAATTTCGGGTTCGGGCTGGGCCGGCAAAACATTTTTAAAAAATTTCGGGTTCGGGCCGGAAAAATATTTTTGAAAAACGGGCTTGAAAAATTAGGCCTGATGCAGATCACAAATTCACAATCCTTCAACGGCCATTTCCCTTTTCTATAACAAAAAATAGCATATTATATTCTTTTTTCAAATACAGGGACAATAAAATACATTTAAAATAATTTTTATTTTATTTTTAATCGCGATTAGTTTAATAATAAATCAAAGTTATAAAATAAAAAAAATTAAGCTGTTCCCGTAAAAATAAAATAATTTTATATTTTGATAGAAAAAATATATATACAATTATAACTATAAGTCTGCAAAGAGAAAATAGTATCGGGCAGGAGGTTTAAAAAAAAAATTCAAGTATCGAGCAGGCGGGTTTAGAAAAATTTTAAGTGTTGGGCAGGCAGGTTAAGAAAGAAATTTTAAGTATTGGGCAGGCAGGTTAAGAAATAAAATTTAAGTATCAAGCAGGAGGGTTAAAAAAAATTTTGTTTTATTTTACTTGACATATTTTTTGAAAAAATATATTATTCATTATTATCAAAATTTAAACGAGAGTATTTTATCAGTGTTTTGCTTATCTCACTCCTATTAACCTTAAAATTTTTGTTAATCTCAATATAGACTAAATTAAAACTACCTACTGAATTATCAGCAATATAAGATGTACTTCATTTTATCATTTCTCGTGGCTGCTTATATTTTTTATATTATTTTTAAGAGAATAATTTTTTATATCTTTCTCGCTTTCCACATGCATTATTATGTATACAATAGCATAATTTAATCTTTTTATTCACTTTTTAACCACCTGTTAAAAGTCTAATAAATTATTTAAAAAATGATTCATGAAAATATAATTTTAAAAAATTTTTAAAGCAATGATTATTCTTTGCAAACTTTATAATTGGTCATAAATATTTAATCACTATTTTTGATTTTATTAAATAAATTTAAATCCATCAAGTATTTTCCTTCAATTTGTATTAAGAATTTATAGTTATTTTTTTATTATTTATCTAAATTATAAAATTATAATATATTGAATAAAATGCTTAACTAAAAATTATGGTCGGGAGGGTAGGTTAAAAAAAATTGAAACAATAGGCACGCTTATGAGGTTAAAAACACGGTCATTGCACACTCTAATTACAACCAAAAATTAGTATTACCCTTTTATATGAGCTTTCTCTCTAAGCTTGTCGATATAAGGATACCAATGTTTGTCGAATAATGGGTAAAGTTTCAGTGATGTATCTTTATCGGCCAGTTGCCACAAATCCGATTTAGTCAGAGGATATTTACTTCCGTATAAGGCTAATCTTTTTTTAAAAACAATATTATCAATGAATATGACATGAGAAATTTACATTTTCTATTTTGTCGTTTTGATTGACATCGAATATCTAAAATATTTTTAACATCAAAACTCATAATATTAGTATAAGTTAATATTGCTTAAAGAATATTGCAGAACGAGAAAAAAAAGGGGGGAGCAAATATTAAACCATTTTTCAATCTCTAAAATAGATTCTTTTTTAAGGGATCTAATGTTTTTTATAAAAAAATACAAGCAATTCACATACATTATATTTAATCATTGCATTGATATCAATAAGAGCGCTATTAAAGTCAAAAAATATTCTTGATTTAGGCTCTCTCACTCATACAGGGCCTATTTATGCTCCTCGTCGGGCGCCACTGCTTACTTAATAAAAAAAATTTAGTAGAAAAAGCACTAACATCAGGATAAATTGATATATCATCATAATAATAATTTACTTGTTAAACCACCAAAAGGATATTCTCGATAAAAACGATGCGTATATTTCGGGGCATGTTTTCTGTAAATTAGTTATTTGTTATTATTTATAGTAATTGTATGTAATTTGGAAATGGGGGAAAAAAATTATTCATTACCAAAGTCTCATCTTTCGATATAGAAGTAAGCTTAATGTTTTCTTCAGGATTTAGAGTCTAAAGTGAAAATTAAAAAAATCATAAAAGTTTTTTTTAACATACGATTTATATAAAATGTATTTGTAAAATAAAGTCGGAGAAAATGTATCACCTTTAATCACCGTTACTTTTAAAATAAATAACGAGAAAGCTTTTAAAAAACGATATATAATTTTAAAATACTAACTTTCTGGTCTGAAGAAGAAAGTCGAAAATTTCCGGAACTACCAAATTTAGTTTTTAAAAAATGAAATTTATTGCTATCGAACCCAGATCGACTTTTGGCGTTGAAACAATGCAAAATGATTTGGAGAATAACTATGGTCAATTGCAGTATGTAAAGGGTATAATGGGAAAATGCTATAACAGCCTGTGTATTCAATTTCATTTATTATTAAATATTAAGAAGTAATAAATATTTTATTATCATTTTAGATAACGTAAATTATAGCGACAACACGCTTTTATCTTAATATTTCTCAGAAATCTTTCCAATTTTATTTATAATATTTTCTCGGTTATATCTAATAGCTTTATTTCTCAACAGCCCTTTTCAATTTGATTTTAAAAATGTCTTGAAAGGTTAAATATTGTTTATTTTATTTATTACCGAGTGTTTCTTTATGGATAAACTTCTCGACCAAATGTAGACGATAAGGTAGCAAGAGCATAAAACCCAAAAATTGAAAGTGTAACCCGAAGACCATATCCCTTTCATCCTCTCGTAATACAATAAGAACGATATAATCGCCTTGGACCATATGTTTATTTTTTTTAAACCTCAATAAATAGGTATTAAATAAAGTGTAATTTTTTTTAAAAAAATCGTTTAATTCAAAATTAATATACAGTAATAATGGCAAATCAGTCTTTTATAAGAGTTAAAGATTTTAAGGATGCCTAATATTTTTTTGTATGTGACAAAGAAGAAAACCTATGTAAAGGTGAAATTTTAATCCAATTTGAGTTCATTGGCTTATTATATTAATAAAATAACGTAAATAATTTATGCATGGCCAATTTTTTTTAACAAAAAATACACGAAATTTAACTCGTTAACCAAAATTTATAAATAAAAGTAGAAATGTTTTACAAATTAATTGTTTTTTTTACTAAATATACGACCTTCGAATCTATTCTACCAAGTCATATTTCAAATTTTACCGTATTTGAAAGAGATAATGATGTATAGCGTTGTGTTATTAATTTTTTTATGTGTTTTATTAAAATATTTAATAGCGTCATAATTTTATTCTTATGTATAAAAAAATTTAATGTTTTCGAGTAGCGTGTAACCTAGTCTGTTAAGTGTGTGTATCACAATCGGGTAGATCTTGATTCAAATCCAGCAAGGACCATGTTTTTTTCTAAATAACAAAATCTAAATAATGGAATTTCATGCTTTACATACATAATCCGTGATACATGACAAAATAAAGAAATTTTTATAAAGTAGTTTCGTCCTTGGGGGGATAGTATATAGTAGATCGGACTCGGCCACGTGATTCCGTTTATATATTTTCAAAATAAATTGGTTTATTGCATTAATAAATTATAGTTGTGGCTTAGCAAGTGTTTATATGCCGATCAGCGTCATACATCATTACCCATTTGAAAGGTATTAATATTTAATAATTACATTTTATGTCTTAAGAGTCTTAATAAAAACAAGTATTTAATTTTATAAATTGTGCTCCATTTAAAATCTGAGACATATTAGTCCTTTTTAAATTAATTATAATTAGGTTGTCGTCCGACTTTTCGCTAAATTTTGCAACTTGGATTTAAATTTAAAAAAATATATTTAGAAATTGGGACAATTTTTGCTTAGTTGATTCCTACAACTAGCGCAGCTAAATTTAGGGTTGGGTAATAAAAACACAAAAAAAGATTGAATTTCAAAAAAATTAAAGTTATTTTTTGAATAATTTAAAAAATACCAAAAAACTATTTCAATTAAATCAATTTACCGTCGAAGTCTGTCAAATTATCGCAAAAAATAAATTGATAATTATTAGTATTACGATACGAAAGAGATAATAAATCTAAATAAAACTCATTTTTGATTTACGTAAGATACAACGAGGAATGTCGGGAACAAAATAGCTGAAACAATTAAGGATTTCGAATCGTCGGTAATTCTTAAGACCAAATCTGCGACCGTAATTAAGCATAACAAGACTGAGAGGATCTATGAAAGGGGTAAAAAAAATATGAATTAATAAGGCTAAGTTCAAAGTCTATTTTTATTAAAACTTTTTGTTTGCTATAAATTTATCGAGAAATATCGTTCACGACGTTCTTACCCATTTAAAGTTGTAATTAGTGTTGTTAAATGGCTCGTTTTGAGCCGATTTTTAAAAACGGCTAACTCAATATTTCGTCCAGAAAAATATTACGCAAGCCTCAAGATTTTGCTCATAGAAGGAACAAAGGTCTAGGCATATATTATCGAAATCTCGAGACTTAGGCAATATTTTTCTGGCTAAAATATTGAGTTAGCCGTTTTAAAAAATCGGCTCAAAATGAGCCGTTTAACAACACTAGTTGTAATGGTTAATATATAAAAAATCGGGGTCTGGTGTGGGTGGAAACGAAGTCGAGTTAAAGAAGTAATTTAACAATCATGTTAGGTAAAATTAGCCAAATCTTTCGGGTTTTTGCATCTGCCTCATATTTAACAAGGTATAATAAATTTTGATATTCAAAAACATAATACATAGTAAAAAAGATAGTTTTAAACTAGAGCAAAAGTACCAAACAGTTTTAATAAATTGTTATTAAAAAAAATTATATAAAAAAAATATTAGCATAATATAGTATGTTGACATAATATTAAATTATTTTTTCAAAACATGTATTATAAAACATTGAAAATGATCAAAATTAAGATTTATATAGAAAAAACTTTGGGGTCGGGGAAGAGTTATTAACTTAAAAAAAGAAGGGGGGGGGCAACCATTTTGCCGAATAATTTATTTATTTGTGTAAAGGGTTTGATTAATTATTTTCCCCAAAAAAATATACTATTTTGAACTTTCGAAATAAGAAGAATTATTTATCATGGTAAAAATAATAATAATTGTGTATAATCTAAAATAGGTCTGTTTATATTTTAAAATACCTCGTTCGAAAATAGATAAAAAATTTGTTTTTTTAAGTCATTTGAGTACAAATTTATCTATCAATTATTTTGTATATAATTTTACAAATAAAATATTAGTTAGACAAAAATGTCATTAAACTTAAACGTGATATAGGCGAAGACGCAATAAAAAGTAATACTGATTATGATTTTTTGGACTATTTTTTAGATGTTCGTATAAAACCAAGAAAAATAAAGATTTTAATATTGTTTTGAAAAGATTTGGAGGAAAGTTCATCATTGATCAATAATATGCAAAATCTGGTTGATAATAGTATGCAAAATCTGGTTGATAATAGACTCAAGTGGTTGATAATAGACTCAAGGAATGTTCAACGGAAGGAATTTTGTTAATTGGATGAAATATATTTAAAATTAAACTCAAGAGTAGGATTAAAATTCACAGATCTATGGATTGGGGTTATTTAAAGGTTTGAGAGGTATGGCTTTGGGTTTAGATTGGTTTTTAATAAAATTTAATCATTTCAATTAATATCCTGTTACACCTGACAATGATTATAAATAAACGAATAGAAATTTACAGCAAAACGGCAACTTCCTTGGGTTGAAAATCACAATATTTTTAAGAGGCTATTTTTTTTATATATAAACATCAATTTATATTTTACCGATCTGATCATATTATCCCTTTTTTGAAAATTACTATATACGAATACATTATGCTAGCATGCCTTAAAATTATTTTTATAATTTTTTCTTTGAATATACAGATAGATACCAGATATATTTATCGGGATCAGGATTGAATAAATAAATTTAAGTTTTGCACAATGTATTTTTTTAAAGGGGCTATTTAGAATATTATCTTTTGTCCGAAACATTTTTGTTTGATATTCAATTTTTAATAATAATTGCATTGCAAAATATATAATTAAGGACTAAACATTGTATTAATAAAATGTCTCGTTCCTTACAATTGGATTTGATACTATTTCCCAGCACTTATAATTTATCAATGTCAAAAATATTAAATAATTTTTCTATTAATTTTTTTTTACTCGACAATTTTTTTTAGAGAGGTAAATAAACTTAGCCAGTATACTTTGTATTAAATTTTATACAATAAAAAATACATCATATTATATATGTATATGTATATATTATCATAAAAATATTATATTTTAATTTAAATGATAAATTTTTTTATACATTGCATTTTTTCATAAGGCATAGAAGAATGGTCAATTAGAAGAACATAGGTTAAAGGCTGTTTTTTGAAAATATGGAAATATAAATATTTTTAAAAATAATTTATTAGGGAGATCAGATTATATATCATTCTACCGTCGCTGTTTCAGAACATCTTACCCTTTTGGAAAAGAAGTTAATTATTCTCCAAACTTAATAAAATGTACATCCAAGTCAACCCGATGGTGAGCTAAAAAAATTAGGTAGAGCTTGGGCTTGAAAAATATTTGAAAAAAAAACAGAAAATGATGTTTTTACTTGCTTTATCGAAATAAAATGAGAATCAAAATTCATGTGATAAGGAAAAGGCAATTAATGATTTTCGGGCAGATCTCGTGATATGATAAAAATTAATAAACAAAAAATCGAATTTTCAGAGCTCTCTTCAGAAGGAGCCTAAAATATAAAGTCGCAAGACTTTTTCAATTTAACAAAACAAAAAAAAAGTTTTAGGAGCTATTAGACTGACCATTGGTTATGATTTTAAAATATTGTAAAAAAAAAAATTAAAGTCCTTTTTAACTACTTCATATTCCTTACCCCTATTCCACTTCAATGAGGAAATGGTGTCATATTCCCTGTAGTTGAAGTGCCTGGCCAAGCCACGAATGCTATTAATCGAATTCAAATAATATGTTTTTGGCTAATTAGTTTAGGTTTGGAATATTGTTTTCAAGTCTCATTTTCTTTACCGAATGATCGACTAAGACCAACTAGAATTATTCAGAGAAATAAAATTAATTCGGACTTCGGAACAGTCCTCAAATTAATATTGATGATGTTACTATTCCCCCGACAATGCAGGACTTCTCTATTACATATAATATACCTATAGGCTATAGCCTTGCAAATTCAAAAAAAAATTCGGCCCATCCTATTCCTTTTTAAATCAAACCCCTGCCACATATTTTTCCATTTATTTTTAGACTTTGAGACCGATCCGAATTTTTATTTTAAGCTTGAGCAAAGGCCTCGCTCGAAATTTTTGATGAAAATTAAAAGCATTTTTATAAGGTTTAATGAGACAAAAATCACTCATTGATTGTCCTCATCGCATATAAATTCAAATTATCATGTTATTTTAATAATAAAAGAGAAGACATCATTTTCTGTATTTTTAGAATTTTTTTTAAAGGCCCCTTGCCCGATTTTTCGACTAATTATATATATTGCAATAATTGATATGGCGATGCCCTGGTTCTACTTAATTTTGATATTGAATACACTTTTAAAATAGGAAAATCTATTTTGGTGTTTTAGGTATTTGGTGGCATTGTTATTTTTCGTATATATTTTGTCGTTTTTTTCCTTTTTTTCGTTTTGTTTATTTTTTCTTTTACTTTTTATGCTGTTTTTTCGAAGCTAAATAGCCGGCTAAACAAGGCTGTTTAGTAATAAGTCGAACCAGGACACGGCCTATAAAGTTAAATTTTTTAGTTGTACAATCAAAAACTTGTACTAAAGCGATATTTGATAAATAATTTTATGAAAAAACTGCAATTTTTATGTTGAAAGGAAACATGATATAAGTTCCGGAGTTCCACCATAGAAAATCGAAACAACTGGACAATTTTTTTTTCTGGAAGCTTATATATTATATTTAGTTTTTTAGGATAAAATCAAACAAATACTTTTGCGACAATATTTTAATATTTTTTAAAAAAAATTATAGCAATATTGATTTATTGGGTTAAAATAGCGAAATATCGGTTTTTATATAATATCTAATGATGATTGAGAGAGTAGGGTAGTTTAATTTATGTTGTTTTTATAACCTTGACATAGCATTTATATGGTTTTATACGATGGTATAAATATTATAGCTATAATCTAATATATAATGGCAATCAATTTTGAAAACTATAATTTTAAATTAATTTTTTTTTTAAATATTAGTACAAGTGTTACATAGTAACTTGTAAATTTATGATATTTTAATTATGGATCGGAAATGTTATATAGAAAATTAAATTATTAGTCAAATAATGTAATTTAGCTTAAATAATAAACTATACTTAAGGGAAGCAAAACGCTTGTTATATCTTATAAATATATATAATAAAAATCGATATATATAATTAATTATAATACAAATACATTAAATATATTACACTTTATACATTTATTATTGATAAATAATCAATATACATTTTCATTTAATTTTATGGAGACAACAAAAAAATTTTTTAAAAAACGTTTTTTGAAGGTTAAGGTTACAAATGTTGAAAATAAATATTTAGGAAAATAATTAAATATTTCAAAAAGTGCAAGGACCCGTATCTAAATTTGTGGGTTGCCCTTATAAAAACAGCTGAGCCTCCCCATTGCCCCAGGAAATTTACAAAAAAATATAAAATTCTAATTGAAATTTATATTGGATTTAATGTAAATTCAAAATATCATAAATTAGGCTGCATTTATAATAATAGGGCACGATATCGTTTTTATCGTTTTTTTATTCACATATGCCTTAATTTAACATTCAATTTATGATCAAGGTAATTTAACTCTACAAAGCATAGGTGTGACTATGTAGACCGCAGTCATTTAAAAAAACGTTATCACTCAAAATAATTTCTATATTTTTGTCGGAATCTTTTTAGCATATTATCAGGTAAAGTATATATGCTCAAAATTAATTTTGATTTTATTAGGTCGTTCATGAGTTATAGTGGTTTTTTAGCGTGGTCATTCGTAACTTTTTTTATTTGTTTTAGCATTGATATCCTATCCTGAATAAACCTTTTTTATACATCATTTTTTTTAATTAAAAATTATAATATATTAATATTTAAACCTTAGATATTTTTTTATATCATACTCAAACATTTTAAAAT